TTTTTTTTTTTTTTTGTGAAAATGAGTTTTTATAGCTCTGTTTGTACCTCTCAGAAGTTAACCTTTTGTTTCTTCCTGAGGGAGCCAAAAAATGAATTTCACTGTTGCTTTTTATTGGTCATTAGTAAACAAGTAGCTACACAGGTTAAGGAAGTGACTATACTTGTATTATCTTGGTAACAATTAGCACAGCAATTTGACATAATTCTAACCTGTTACTCAGACACCACAATGAAAATGCTTGCTTTTACCGTAGCTTAATCCTCATGTGCATGTAGGTGCTTTTCACTTACTTTGAAGTACTTAGAAGATACGCTTAAGTGAACCTCACACACATGGGTTTAGCACTGTAAAAGGGATCAGCCCTGTAACTCTAGGGGTGGCCTCGTTTGAGAAGTATTTGTGTATCCTCCTTAACCCAGTGAGGGGCTGATGCGGGGATCTGGTCCCCTGCTTCTGAGTACGCTTTCTTCCCCACCACCCCCTTTGCGAGAGGAGGGAAGTCACCTTGCAAACCCAGGGTTGCGAATGGAGCCTAACGTGTGGCGTGTGCACACCGAAAGTGAGTCGAAGGCTGGGAGGGCTGGAGGACGGTGCAGCGTAAATCCGAGGAAGTCATGAACAGGCTGGGCCCTTTGCCTCTGCCTCCTGGCAGGATGTTAACGAGCGTGGGGTGACGATGAGGAAGTTCGCTCGCTTACCCTTCAACAGTTCGTTCTTCGGAAAAACATTCCAGGTAATAGTGTGCATGTGTCATTTTCTGTAGGTTCACGTGGACAAGTTGGACATGTTCAGAAACATGCCCGATATCCTCCACCACCTCACCACGGACCGCGGCACCCAGATCCACGCCTGTCGCCATCCCAAGGTAGCTGTGAGATGACTGTGCCCGTGCTGTGTGTGTGATCTATGAAAGAGGACCTCAGCAATGCCATCTGGAGGCTTGTCACCTTACAGACGTGAAAGCCGAGGCTCCGACCCACCCTGAGTTGAAAGCTAGCGGTCAGGCCGCTCTGCATGACTGTGTCCCATGAACATAGGCTTCACAGTCAGTATCCATTTCTATACATTTGACAACGTGCATTAGTAAGATGAGCTTATAATATAAGTAAACTTGTTCATAGGCTCCTGCTACTGTATTTTTTTAGATTTTAATACATATGGGCTGTATGTAATGATCATGTTTACGATAGGGAATGTTTACCCGTGCGTTTCCCCATTCCCTCCCCCTTCCAACCCTTCTCCCCATTTACCAAGGCTTTGTTTCCATGTTTCCTTCCACTCTTTTTCCCTTCCCCTCTCCATTTTCCCTTGCTCCCCTTCCCATGTGAACATATTCTTCCTCCTTCCCAATATCTACCTTCCATTTTGTTCCTGATTCACCCGTAAGGTTTTCACACGGTATTTAAACTTGTGTGTCCAGTTTCTTTGACTTAAGATTATGGTCTCAAGGTGCATTCATTTTCCTACAAATAATTCAAGTTTATTCTTCTTTATGGAAGAGTAGTACTCCATTGTACATAAAAACCATATTTTCTTTATCCATCTATTGATGGGCATGTGTGCTATTTCCAAGATTTAGCTATTACAAAGTGTGCTGCTGTGAACATGAGTATGCATGTATCAGTGTTGTCTGATGTTTTTAACTTTCGAGAAGATACCTAGGAGGGGCACGGCTGGGCCAAATGGAACCTGTAGTTTTAGTTTTTGAGGAATCTCCTCAGTGGTTATACCAGGTTACACCCTCACCGGCAATGGGAAGGGTTCCTTTTTCCCTGCCGCCTAGCCAGCATTTGTTATTGGTTGATTTCTTGATCTTAGCCATTCTTTCTGTAATGAAGTGGAAATCTCAGTGTTGTTTTAATTTGTATTTCTTGGATGACCATTGAACATTTCTTTGAATGTATATTTGCTGTTTGTACTTCTTCATCTGAGAAGAGTCTTCATTTTAGATGCCCGCTTCTGCATTGGGTCTTTAAATTTGGGGGGATTTGATATTTTTAAATTATATATTGTAGATATTAGTCCTTTGTCTGAGGAATAGCTGGTACAATTTTTTTCCCTGTTCTGTGGGCTGTTTCTTCACTCTGTTGGTGGCTTCTTTCGCTTTACAAAAGCTTTTTAACTTGATGAGATCCCAGTTGTTAATTATAGTATTTCTTACCCAACTAGGGTTTTGTTCTTTAAATCTTTGCCTACACCTATGTCTTCAAGAGTTCTTCTTATACTCTTCTAGCAGATTTAGTGTTACTGTTTTAATATTTAGATTTTTGATGTATCTTGATTTTAATTTAGTGCATGGTGAGATTGGGTCTAGATTAAATTTTTGGCATGTGGGAAGCCAGTTTTACCAGCATCATTATTAAAGAGCCTTTCTTCAAGTGAAGGTGTCTGGGTCCTTTGCCAAAGAGAAGGTGACTGAGTGTTCTTGGATTTGTTTCTGCACCTTCTACTTGGTTTCATTGATCCTTGAGTCTTTTTCTTTGCTAGTGTCATGCTGTTTTTATCATGGTAGCTTTGTAATATAACTTTACATTGGAGATTATGATGCCCCCTGGCCTTGTCCTTGGTGCCCAGAATTGATTTTGCTATACTAGTTCTCTTCTGGTTCCATATGAATTTTAGGATTGTTTTCTCTAGTTCTGTGAGGAATGCTATTGGTATTATGTTTGGGATTGCATTAAATCTGTATAACAGTTTTGGAAGTATTGCCATTTTGACTATATTGGTTCTTCCTATCCAAAACAAGGAAAATCTTTCCCTTTTCTGATATCCTCTGTGATCTTCTTTTTCAGAGTACTCCACTTTTCAGTATATAAATGTTTCATTTATTGGATTGATTCCTAAGTATTTAATTTTTCTTGAGGCTATTGTGAAAGGTGTTGTTTCCCTAATTTCTCTTTTAGTGAGTTTATTTGTGTACAGAAATGCTGTTGCTTTTTGAGTGTTGACTTTGTATCCTGCTGTGCTGCCAAATTTGGTTAACAATTCTAAGACTTGGAGTTTTGGGGTCTTCTATGTAAAGTATCATGTCATCAGCAAATAATGATAATTTAACTTCTTCCTTTCCTATCATATTCCTTTTCTTTCTTTCTCTTGTCTAATTGCTCTGGCTAATGTTTTTAGAACTACATTGAACAGAAGTGGTGATAATGGGCATTCGTGTCTTCTCCCTCATTTTATAGTGAAAGCTTTCAGCTTTTGACCATTTAGTATGATGTTGGTTGTTGGTTTGTCATAGATGGCTTTCATCAGATTGAGCTAACAACCTTCTATTTTAATTTTCATAGGGTTTTTATCACAAATGGCTGTTGAACTTTGTTAGATGCTTTTTCTGTATTGAGATGATCATGTGCTTTTTGTTCTTTTTGTTTGTTTGTTTTTGGTTCTGGGGATTGGACTCGTGACCTTGTGCTTGCAAAGCAGGTGTGGAACCACTGAACTAAATCCCCGGCCCTGGTTTTTGTCCTTGATTCTGTTAATGTGGCATATTACATTTATCGATTTGTGTATTTTGAACTACGCTTGCCTCCGTGGGATAAATCCCACTTGGTCATAGTGTATAATCTTTTTGATGATTTGCTGCATTATTTGCCAGTATTTTATTGAGGATTTTACATCTGTGCTCATTAAGATTGGCCTGTAGTTCTTTTTTGATTGAATCCTTCCTCTGGTTTTGGTATCAGGGTAATGCTTGCCTGTAGGTGTGACTTTGGAAGTATCATTTTCCTTTCAGTTTCATTAAAGAGTTTGAGAAATAGTGTTAGTATTGAGGAGTTGTATTAGATCTCTAGAGTTTTTATTGGAGTCAGCAATGAATCCATCTGGACCCTGGCTTTTCTTTGTTGGTAGTTTTAAATTATTTCTTCAATTGCATTGACTGATATTAAATTATTTAGTATTTGTCTATCTTCTTGGTTCACCTTTAGTAATTTGTATGTATCTAGTAATCTGTCCATTTTTTCTGAGCTTTCCATCTTATTAGAGTACAGGTTCTCAAAGTATTGACAATCATCTGGATTTCTGTAGAATGGATTGCAGTTTTTCCCTTTTCATTCCAAATTGTATGGATTTGGGTCTTTTCTTTCCTTTTTCTGATAAGGTTGGCGTGGAATTTGTCTACTTTATTTAATTTTTCATAGAACCAACTCTCTGATTCATTATTTCTTTGTATTCTTAGTTTGAATCGTATCACTTTGTGCTCTGATCTTTATAATTTCCTTCCTTGTAGGAGCTTTGGGTTTAACTACTTCTGCTTTTTCTGGAAGCTTGAGGTTCGACATTAGGTTATTTGAGCTCACTCTGTTTTTCTAATGGGAGAATTCATAGCTATAAACTTCCCTTATAGGATTGCTTTCATTGTATCTCATAAGTTCCAGGATGTCGTGTTGCTATTCTTGTTTAATTGTAGAACCTGTCTCATTTCTTTAATTTTATCTGTGACCCATCAGTTGTTCAGGAGGATATTGTGTTTCATTTGCATGTGTTTATGTGGTTTTTACATTTTTTTGCCATTGATTTCTAATTTCATTACACTATGATCTGATAGTATGCATGGGATAATTTCAGTTCCTTTGCATTTACTTAAGCATGTTCTATGAGCTATATGTGGTCTATTTTGCAATAGTATTTTTTCTTTCTTTCTCTCTTTGGTACTGGGGATCAAACTCAGGACCTTGTGCTTGCGAGGCAGGCAGCGGAACCACTGAGCTAAATCCCTGGCCCTATGTGGAGAAAGTCCTGTGTGTTGCTGAGAAGAATATATATTCTGTTGTTTTTGGGTGGAACACTCTGTTGGTATCTGCTGAGTCTATTTATTCAAAGTTTTGGTGCAACTCTAATATTTGTTAATTTTTTGTTTGATTGTTGAGACCATTCACATTAATGGTTATAATTGATAGATATTCTTGTCATTGTATTGTTTTCTTGTTGGTTCCTTTTTTCTTCTCTTGTATTTAATTGTGTGCTGTACCTCATACATTCATTCTATTGAGATTCTTGGAATTGTCTTTTTCTAGAATATCCTTCAGGACATTTTGGAGCACTGGTCTGGTGGTCATGAATTTCTTCAGGTGTTCTTTACCATGCAAGTACCTTACTTCTCCATCATTTTCAAAAGATAACTTTGTGGGATACATCAATCTTGTTTGCATGCTGTTTTCTTTTAGGGCTTGAAACACTTTGCTCCAAGCTCTCCTTGACTTATGCTTTTGTGTTGAGAAGTCTGCTGTGATTCTAATGGGTTTTCCTGTATTGATAATATGTTTTTTTTCTTTAACAGTTGTTCATGTTCTGTTCTTGTGTTGAATTTCTGGAATCTTGACTATTATATGGCTTATTGCAGTTTTTTTCTGATCCTGGCTATTTAGGGTTATATATGCTTTATCTGTATGTCAAGTTGTTTTTCTTTTCCATGCTTGGAAAGTTTTCTGCTATTACCTCTGTGAACAAGTTTTTGTGTATTTTGTGTTATGTTGAGTTTTCATTACTCTGATTAATCTTACTCTTCTTTGCATCTTCCAGGAACTGTTGGGTTGATTTTTCATGATTCTTTACTGTTTTTAAGCAGTCTTTCATTTGATGCTCACTAGCCACAGCCCTTTCTCCTGTCTTCACATCAGTTGACTGCTGCGTATACTTTCAGTTGAATTTTTAATCTCCTAGATATCTGTTTTTTCATCTGTTTGATGGCATCCAGTTCTTTTCTTCATTGGGCATTCATGGCTTCCCTGTCTTTCCTAAGTACCTTTATTTTTTTAATCCGTATCTCCTCTAGATTTACTGTTTCCTTCCTTATGGTCATCATCTCTTTATCTGTATACTTATTTGTTTTGGTTTTGTCAAGAGACTTCTTCATCTGTTTTGTTACTTTTGCTCCTACCATTTCAGAACGTTCAGCTGGGTGCCTTTTGGTTTCTTCTACCTCTGTGCTCCTTGGATTTGCCTTAGATGAGTTGTGTTGCATGTTTCTTCTGTGTTTTTTTAATTTTATATTTTTTGTTTTTTAGGTTTTTTTTAAATGTTTGTTTGTTTTCTGTGTTGAGATGTCAAAACTGCTTATGGTAGGTAGCTTTATTATTAGTATCAAGACCTGTTAGAGAAATGATTAATTTTCAGAGATGTTTTCTAGGTGTAGCTGGCTTTTTGACTTTGAGTCTGTCCCAGGATCCTACCTTTTCTATTTATTAGGTAGGCATGAAAGTTGCAGCCTGTTTGGCCTGGTGCTAAGTTCTTTGGTACTGGGCTGCAGTATTTTTTGTGATGCCCACACAATCTAGGTATTGACATGCAAGGAAGGTCAATTGATCACAACAACGTTGGCAAAAGTAGTACAGTCAGTAATAACAGTAAGCATGAAACACAGACTGGAAAATAACAAACTGTGATAACTAACAATTTGCTGCCTTTAATCCTAGGTAAAAGATTTATAGTGTTATGGTTTGTGTTTAGATGTCCTCCCAATGCCTCATGCAGATGAGGTGGGACTTTCTTTTTCAGAGGTAGCAGAATCTGGAATGTGTGATGCTGAGGTTAAGGGTGTGTAATTACTAAACCACTACATATGAGTGACTGGTTTGGCATCCTAACAGTCTGAATAAGATAAAGGGGCAGAAAGATGCTGTTGAACCCTCTCATTACCTTTGCTGCCTTGTGCGCCATGTTGTTTCTCCTCTGTGAGGCCTGTTTGCCATCCCAGCCTTGGAGCCAGCTGATTACGGACTAAAATCTCTACAAATGTTAAGCCAATTAAACCCCTTCACTTTAACTTGTCAGGTATTTTGTCTTAGTAATGAGAGAGAGGTCACTAACATATGTAGTTATATAACAAAATCTAAGACAAATCAGAAAAGTATTTATAGTAAATATCCACTGAATAGAGTGGTTTTACCCTATGGAGAGAAAACTTAAAAGGGAGAAGAAAATATAGAGGAATGAAAGAAGAAAAAAAAAAGATTAGAAGCAAGGCTGAAGGACAGGAGAAGATTACCCAAGCCTCGGGAAACTGGCAAAGAAGACAGGAGGGAAGGAAAGAAGGGGAAAAGAAACAAAAAATAAAAACCATGTTCACAGTCACACACGCACACACAAAAAGCAATTAAAAAAAGGAAAAATGAATAAAAATTTTTAAAAGACCAAAAACAAAGAAAAAGAAAAAATAATAAATTTCTTTCTGGTTATCTTCTGAGGTATACAGTTTTCTGGTAATATCCAATTCAGTATGTGACTCTGCTGTTGCTAGACAAGAGAGACAGTCCGAGCCCAGATCCCTTTTGGTTAATCCCAGAAAGTTGGCAGTAGGAGGAGGATGTGGTGCCAGTTCTGGGACTTTCATATCCATAGAAATTCAAGTTGGATTTGGCCGTGGTGGTGGGCCTGAGTCATGTATCTTATAACACTGTGTCTCTGCCAACCCTACTATGGCTCCCTGACCCTGGCCATCTCCCATGGTTGTCCTTCACCCAGTCACTGTGGGAGTAGACACTGGGAGCCCTGGGATGAAGCCAGCCCACGGCTGTTACCATTCTCATATTCTGTTGGCCCCTCCCTAGTCGTCCTACCCAGCACTCTCAGGGGATGTGGCAGATGCCTGGACTGGAGTCGCTCGTCAGCGTTTGTACTGTGTAGGCCTACAGCTGTGTTTCACTGGTGCATTCCCTGCAGAGGTTCGCCTGACTTCCCTGTTCTATAGGCTGGATCTTCCTTTCTATTGCCACAAGCCAGGAGCAGGGGAGAAAGTGCAGTTTGTCCTTCTTTTTTTTGTCTTGTGGTCTGTCTCTTCTGTTTCTCTGTGTGCTCTAATTTTCCCATCTTACTCTCCGTGAGTCCCTGGCATCCACCTCCTTTCTGCTCAGTTGTCTTTTTCCATTGTCTGGACTCCAGATCTTGCAGAGGCTGGTTTATTGCTGTTTACTGCTCTGCCATCTTCGCAGAAGTCTCTACTGCTGTTTATTTTATTTGTTTGTCTTTTGAGACAGGGTCTCCCTATGTAGTTCAGGCTGACATTGAATTCACTGTGTCGACCCAGGTTGGCATGGAACTTTCTGAGATCTTGCCTCAGTTTCCCAAATGCTAGGATTATAGGTGTGTGCCACCACACCCAGTTCTACTGCCATTTATTCTTTTTTTTAACTGCTGTTTATTCTTGAAACTCATGTGCAAATTTATAAATTTTACTTTTCTTGTACTCATTTGAAAAATACTTAGATGTAATTTCCTTCAATCTTTCAGCTTTTTTTGTTGATACTGGTTTTTAATGATCCCAGAAACCTCTCCTGTTACTAAATGCCTTGGATCTGCTTCCAGTTTGAATTTTCCTTTAATTTTCTTTTTCATTTTAAGACTAATTAGTTACCTTCTAATGCAGTGAAATGAATGATTCTAATTTCTCTCTAAAGTTTCAAATATCTTAGCTTTCAAATGCTGAGTAACTTTTTTTTAGTAAGCACTGCATTTATAAATTAAATCAAAATTATGATAGTAATATTGCCCCCTTTAGACAAAATACTTTCATTGTTTGGCCCTTATAATAAAGCATGATTTTACACAGAAAAGAATTCTTAGCAACATGGAGTGTTCAGACAGAGCTACAGGTAAGTAATGATGTTTGAGTATTGGTAAACTGTATATTTTAACTTGAGTTTGTGGACTTTGTGCAGTTATATTTGTGTGTGCATGTGTGTGTGTGTGTGTGTGTGTGTGTGTGTGTGTAATTCCCTTTCCTCATATTGATGGCTTTGAAGAGTCCAGGCCAGTTGTTCTGTAGAATGTTTCTCACTTTGAAATGATCTGATTGGGTCCTTAGGTTTGTGTTTCTTTCATGTCTGAAAACTTACCTACACTTGTTTTTGAGATGCTGACTACAAACAGCTTTGTTGAAAATATATGTTTCTATATTTTTAAAATCTGTTCTAGGCAGAGGAATATTGTCAGTGGAATAAATTACCCTGTGGAATTACTTCCAAGAATAAAATTCCACTCCACACAATCAGCATTAAGCCATCCACCATGTGGTTTGGAGAAAGATCCAGGAAAACAAATGTAATTGTGAGGTAAGAGAGCGATGCTATAGGTCTTCTGAGAGACCTGGAGATAAAAATGTTTGATCCAAGCTGGGCACGGTGCTGGTCTTAGTTACTTTTCTTGTTGGTGCGACAAAATACCCCACACCAAAGTTAAAGGAGGAAAGGTTCGTTTGGTTTACAGTTTGTAGGGGTTTCAGTCCATTCTTGGCTGGCTCCAAGGCAGGGTAGCTGGCAGAGGGGGAATAATTCATGGTGAGCAGAAGGTAGCAAGGCAAGTAAGGGTCGACCACAGCTCTTTTGGTCCCTTCTATCTTACCCAGGCTACTGAGGACAGGCAGCACTCACACCCGTAACCCCAGTACCCTTGATCCTCCCATTGCACCATGAATGAATCCCAGCATCACAGGCTCTAGATCCAGACACCCCTGAAAATGCCCCACGTGTGACCACATGAGGCTTTGGGGGAAATCTAGACAGGAGCCAAAACTGTGGAACATGTCTGTAATCCCAGCAACTCAGGAGGCTGAAGTAGGAGGATACAAGTTTAAAGCCAGCCTGGGCAGTTTAAACCTTGTCGCCCAATAAAAATAAAAACCTGGAAATGTAGCTCAGCAGTACAGTGCCCCTGGGTTCCATCCCTGGTAAGAAAAACAAAAGTTTGATGTAGTTTAATGTAAACATACTGTAGCCTAAGCCCAAGAAGAGGCTATACTATAATTATGGGAAGTAATATCTTTAAGCACGATACTCCAAGCCTGCCTTAGCATATTAGACAGTATATCTGGAGGCCACCGCTAGTGAGAAGGTAGACTGTTGAAATCAGAAGACATCAGAGTGCTTGAATGAGTTAAAAAATGACATCATAGATAACAGAAGCCCTTCCACACATGTGTAAATACCGAATAGTTTCTCTGGTGTGAAAAACTATAATGGTACATAAGATCCTAATGACGTAATTGACAATGTGAAATAGGAAGAAAGGGCTAAAGGTGTAGGGAAAGTGGGAAGGGTAGGGGAAAGGTAATAAGGGAAAAGAAAAAAATATAGGAGAAAATGAAAAAATGGAAATAAAGTGTTTGTAAATGGGGAGGGGAGAGGGGTGAAGGGAGGGCAGGGATAAGGGGAAAAAATGAGAACCAAGACCCTGTGTAAAGGTACAAGATCCCAATAATGAATGTAACTGTACTGTATCCCTAAAATGTACCAATAAACTTAGAGAGAGAGAGAGAGAAGATAAAAGAGAATAGAAGCCCTTGATAGAGTGGAGTTTCCATCCTACTATCTTAGCAGTGTTCCCTTGCCTTGGCTGTTTAGTATGCCTACAACAGATTTCCATTTCTGGAAAAAGTTCAGTTTTACCCCAAAAAGTTCCTGATTATAGGGTGATTTCAAACTGGAATAGCCTAATTGGGAAAGGTCAGAGTTTAGAACTTAGCTTAGTGTTGTATGTGACTCTTGTATTTGTGTTTTCATTTCTCTTTAGGACCGGAGAGAGTTCATACAGAGCTTGTTTTTCTTTTCACTCCTCCTACAGTGAGGTAAGGGGATCCTGTAAACTCAACCTTTGCTGACTATTATTGCTTGGTCCAGAGCATGTCGTACTATTTATTTATTTATTTATTTTTGGTTTTTTGAGACAGGGTCTCACTATGTAGTGGAGACTGACCTGGAACTCACTATGTAGCCCAGGCTGGTCTCGAACTCACAGCGATCCTCCTGCCTCAGCCTCCCAAGTGCTGGGATTACAGGCGGGCGCCATCACACCCTGCCATGTCATACTACTTAAATGTCATTCCCTGTAAGTTGCTAAAAATTGACTCTCACTACATGTGGATCCTGCATTTCTGTGTTTTCTTGCTATAGTTTATCTGCAACCCCAACATTAATCCCCTCTGGGCTTCAGGAGATATTTGAAGTTAAGAGGAGAGTAGAAAGATTCTAGTCATCTACATGCGTGTTCCCAGCTCCAGGGGAACAAGGCAGTGCTCTACCTCTTCGTGTCTGATCTCCTGCTGTAAACAGGAGTCATTTTATGACCTATAGAATGCCATGTTTTTCTTACTTTTGTGCCCTTTTTTGGTGATTTCACCATTTGAAATGGCCCCAAGCGAGGTGCTGAAGTCCTGTGTAGTGTGCCTGAATTCAAGAAGGCGGCGACATCTTACAGTGACCGTGTGGGTGTGGTCAAAAATACAGTAAAGGTTTAAATGTTTAAAAGTTATTACAGTAAAAGAAGACACTGCATCAGTGCCTCTGGAAAGACTGCCTTTCCTTCCAGCACACTTACCCATCATCCTTGCCCCTTTCTGACTGTCTTGATGTCCTGAATTGCTTCCAAACATCTTTCATGGTTATTTTGACTTTGAGGGAGTTGCACAGTGCCAGAGTGATGAATTAGGTAGACAAGGCTATGCTGTGATGTTTTTAAGAGTCTGCCTTTCCGTTAGATGACACTGGGCAGCAGCATTCACTGTATTATCCTGTCTCATAAAGACACTCATGAAAGAACACTTCCAAAACTGCTGCAGGAAATGGCAAGAACCATTGGATAAGTGTGTTCCCTGTGAGAAGTATTTTGAGAGGGCTTAATGGCAATGTTTCTTTTACTGTAATACATTTCAAAAATTTAAGCCTTCCCTGTGTATTTTGATCACATCACATACATATATAAACTCCATTCAGGCCTGAGTTACAGTGCTATTTGCTATATGAGTTCAATGTTGAGGAATAAACAGTATAAATGTGTGCATGTGTATATATATATCTATATATATAAAAGCAGAAACACATAAGAGAAGGTTATGTATCGATTGGCTGATCAAACTAGAAATTTTCAGGAATCTAGCCCTATACAGTTTTCCCCCAGCAGCAGTGGTTCGGTATTTGCTAAATGAATATTAGTGGTGACATTATAGAATGTAATTACTGAGAATTGACTGTATTAAAGTCTTGTGTTAGGCAGACACTGGTGACGGACTGTCAACTTGCTTGTGTAAGAGAGGATGGTCCTCTTTTGGGTGTCTTTTTCTGTCCTTGTGGCCCCTTCATCTCTGAGGAGTAGTGAATCTGGTATAAGGTTGACTTTTTTCTATATCATTATTCCCTTCAAAAGCCTTAGACTTCTATTATCCTTAACCTGGGTTTGTTTTTTTTTCAGTATTGGGGATTGAACCCAGGGCCTCTGCCCTGAACTACACTATCAGCCCCCTTTTTTTTTAAACAAAGTTTTATTTTGAGAAAGAGTCTCACTAAGTTGCTAAGTTTTCTATGCTGAGCTCAAACTTGTGATCCTCCTGCCTCAGTCTCCTAGAGTGCTGGGATGATAGGTTTGTGCCATCATGCCTAGCTTTAAACTTGGGTTGCTTGTGCAAATCAAGTAGCTAGTAGGTGAGCAAGTAATGGTTTCTATTTGTATACCCCTCTTAAGGTACAAAAGCATTGATTATGAGAATTGCCTAATCCACAGATATTTTTGTCTTTTCCCTTGGTGAAGTAGACATTTAAAAAATAGAGTTACAGTCAGTGTTTATTAATTCCTGGGCCCTTGCTGCTTTTTTTTTTTTTTTTTTTTTTTTATCAGTGTTTATTAATTCCTGGGCCCTTGCTGTTTTTTTTTTTTTTTTTTTTTGTACCGGGATAGAAATCAGGCCTTTGTGCTTGCGAGGCAGGCAGCGGTCTTGCCTCTTGATTGGTCCTTTTTTGGAAAGGTGGATGCTAATTATGACTCTGTCCCCCAGTAATTTCAGTTGCAGAAGGGAGTAACAATCTTTATGTTGTAATGAATAGTTTTCCTGAACCTTTCTTCAGGCATCAGTCAGGTACTGGGCCAAGCGCCTCACATGTCCTGTGCAGTCTGTACTTGAGGGAAAGAGTCTGACACAGCCTTTAAGTGGCTTCACTGAACTCACGAGCTTGCCAAGGCCTAGGAAATGACAAAGTTGAGGTTCATCTTGGTTGTAGAGATGTGAGGAACAGTTGCGGAGTTCCTGCTTAGCATTCTCAACTTTGCAGAAGGTATTAGCGCAGGCTTTGCCTGTCAGTGTGCTCATGTAGACTTGTTTGAAAAGGCAGCCCTGTGTGCAGCCTTGAGGAAGAGTGGGCCTAGGGTGCAGTGCTTCCTTCTGGAGCCGGTGTGCTCACACCGTGCCAGCTCATCGCCTGGTGAGCACAGCATTTTCTCTTTCAGGGGCACTGTGTGCTCATCCGTTGTGCATCCTGTGTGCCAACAGCATCCGGCACGATGGGCTGCCGGTGCTCCAGACCCTGCAGGGGAGGGAGGCGGAGGCAAACTGCCTCAAACTGGTTGTGGGAGACCTGTGAGCACCACTGCGGCTGGCCCTGCTGTGTGGGCTCTGAAAGCGGAGTGTCCTCCATTCAGGCTGATTGCATTATGCTTTCCTTGGTGACTCCAGGACCAGCATGTGGCAGGAGTGGTTGGAGTCCCCCACCCCACCCAGGGTTGGCGTCCAAAGCAGTGTTTGGCCGAAAAGAATAAACCATTTGAAAAAATCAAGTGATTTCCAAGATACAATTCTAAGACTTTTGTTTTCCTATGTGTATTAGAGTTATACTCAGCTATATTCTAACTCTTCAAAGGAAATTTGTTAAGTGTGGGTAACCTTCTTAGATAAGGAAACTAATGTTGTATTTAAAAATGCAAAGTGTAGCCAGGTGTGGTGGCGCACACCTGTAATCCCAGCACTCAGGAGGCTGAGACAGGAGGATCGCTGTGAGTTCGAGACCAGCCTGGGCTACATAGTGAGTTCCAGGTCAGTCTCAACTACATAGTGAGACCCTGTCTCAAAAAACCAAAAAAAAAGAAAACCAAAAACCAAAAACCAAAACAAAACAAAACAAAAAAACACCAAGAAAGAAAGGAAAATGTGCCAGGCATGGTGGATGGTGGCCCATGTCTGTAATCCCAGCACTTGGGAGGCTGAGGCAGGAGGTCACTGTGAGGAGTTTGAGGCCAGCCTGCATAGGGAAACCATGTCTTATTAAAAAAAAAAAAAAAAAAGCAAAATGCCATCAATGCATAGGTACTTGGGAGGCTTAGGAGGAGGATCACTAGTTTCAGGCCAGGTTTGGCAATTTTAGTGAGATCCTGTCTCAAAATCAGATTTTAAAGGGGTTAGGGGACTCAGCTCAGTGGTAGAGCACTTGCCTGGCATGCAGGATATCCTGGTCCAATCCCTAGTACTCCATAATAGATCAGTGAGCTGCCTCTTTTTGTCCTACTAGTTAAGCTCTCAGAGGAGCTTCTGCTGTGGAGCAGAACCAACTGACAGAGTTTAGATGTTCTGGTTCTCAGGCCCATTAGCACAGTGTTGTATTTGGGGCAGTGAGGCCTGGGTATTAATGTTTCTTTTTCTTACGGGATCCCCATATACAGCCAGCCTTGAGAAGCACTGCTTCTCTTACCCCTGACCTGCCTTTATCTTCTCTAACATAAGTGAGCATCATAGAGATAGCTGACCTGTGTTATTCTCCTTCTAGATTAAAGATTTCTTGAGTTACATCAGTCCTGTGAATGTGTATCCAAATGTCATTCCAGTAGGCACAACTCTGGATAAAGTTAGAGAAATGTGAGTAGTTACTGCCTGTGGGACTTGTGCTGCTCTCTTGGCTTGGAAACAGACTTGGATAATTTTGCCTGAAAGTTTACAAATGTAGAACCTGTTTCTACTGTAATGTTTTTGAAATTATATTGATTTTTTTTCCCCTTTCATTTATAATTGTGGCAGAATGTAGTTTGTCTTGGGCTGAATCCTAGCTCTGCTACTTGCAGTGTAATCTTTGCCCTATCACGTCTGTAACTGGTGATTGCTCATCAGTGTAGGAATGTGCACGGATGCCTACTTGTCAGTTTCTCAGAAACTTGGAGATAAGCACCAAGTAGGTGGTTAGTAAAGGTATTTACTGAAAGGTTTCATGCAGTCCATGCCATCTTACTATTAGTCACTTCATGAATTATGTGTTTGAGTGCCAGCTGTTAGGCCCTGTGCTTGGGATGGATCCCAGTTGACTAAGATAAATCTTACACAGAAAGAGCTCCTGAGTGTTTGGAAGGGACAAGTGTAAAAGGCGCTCCATGTACGAGTTGCTATGGATCATGAAGAACTGTTAGGGAATCTGCCCCAGAGACTTTGATGAGGACATACAAGACCAGGCTTGCAAGTGGAAGGTAGGATTCGGGAACTCTAGAGGCAACCCATACCTCCAGAAGTCCTGAATCCTGCCACAGAATTAGATTGGCAGCATAAGCAATAACAGAAACCACAAGGACAAAGAAAATTGCCAAGAGAGGGTGGGGAGAAAAAGCAGAGGCAAGATATCAACATTGCCTTAAAAAGAGAAGCTGGAATGAGATGGAGGCAGAGGACCAAGACAGTGAAGGACCATGAAAGGCCAAGTAGAGGGTGTCAAGAGGTATCTTTTGAGGAGCTAAATAATATGGGGACCACGAAGTCTCCTGCTGCCTCAGTAACTAGGTCATTTGTATGTGCTCAGTGAGAGTACTTTCAGTAAACTTGTGAGGTAAGAGGCCAGACCTTGAGAAGTGGCTAAAAGGAGAGGACCTGGAGACTACTGAGATAAGTCTATTTAAAAAGTTTGATACTGCAGGGAAAATTATGGATCAGATGGTAACCAGAGGCAACAAAATTAAGGAGCTTGATTTTGAAGTAGCTGATATTTAAATAGCTTATAGAATTAAGTTTGATTATACATAAGAATCACTTGGGACACTTGTTCAAGTGAATACTTCCCACTCTTGCACTTGCACCAGGCAATCTGTTGTAGGTATTAGCTAGAAAGTAACCTCACTTTAAGAAGTTATCCAAGGAGAACAGTTGGACTGACTGCCGAGAGAAGTAGTCACAGAACAGAGGGGTGAACTCACGGACCGGGGGACATTTGTTGACATGAGAGCACAGGGGAAGATGTAAAGTTGGTGTGGCTGTAGATCAGTTTCAAATGGGAGCTTCATGCTGTGTTCAAGTGGAGTAATTCTCCAGGATTCTGGCAGCTGGCAGTACTTGGTGCTGTAACCCTTCAAATTTTATTTCTGAATTTGGGCTTTCAGTCTATGACTCCAAATGAAGAGATCAAATTTGTGGTTTTCCAAAACCCTGAGAGATCTAAGTAAACTTCATTAGACAAGGAGAAGGAGCACTTAGCACTTTCTGTATTTCCTCAATGCCACAAGATGGCCTTGTGTTACATAAGTGTTTTAGACAGAGACCTAATTTTCTTCATTGCGTGGATAAAATTTTTCTTTACTGAATATGTTGCTCTCACTCCTATTAGATAGGCATCTTCTGTGCTGTATTTAAGTGCTTATATTTACCACTTCATTATATTGAAGTGATTTTATTTAGCTTCTTTTTTTTTGTACCAGGGATCAAACTTGGGTCCTTGTGCTTGCGAGTCCAAAGTGATTTTAATTATTAAACACTGCTTTCAGCTCTTGAAAGTATTTGTATGATTTCCCCTATGGTCAGGCTTTTGTCATCTCCATATATGATGCTTGCTTTCCAGCAGCTTTTCAAAACAAACAAAAAAAAAACCTCAAATATTCTGATTCATTTCAGCTTAAAGCCTTTATGCCGGTCTTCCCAAAATATTGAGCCAAAGTATAAACCACTCGGAAAACTGAAGAGAGCTAGAACAGTCCATCTAGATTCAGGTAAGAATGGTCCTGGGTGCAATGGTGTGGGCTTTCGTATTGTTCTGGTCTGGTAAAAGTAGCCTTTGGCAGAGTAGATGCGGGCCCTATTGTATGCCAGACGTGTCATACGGTCTTAGGAAGAGCTTGCCTTCCTGTGTTCAGCATGTAGTCAGGAGTCCTGTCTTCCTCCCGGCATAAAACAAGTGAAGCTCTCAGCTTCCTGAAATAGGCTGTTGTTACCCTTGAATGTTTCCCTCGGTATACAAGTAAATGCTGAAAATGGAGTCTTTATTGTCATTTTCCATCAGATTGACCAAGAGTATTACATTTCTCTGTAATTTGCCTTTTGTTGCCACTTTTGTTCATAAGTGAAAAACAAAGATCAGCTGTGAAGTGGAGATCAGAACTTTAGAGTCTGAGCAAAGCAATGCTGGGTTTTAGCAGCCAGATTTAGAGGATGGGGTTCTGGATTCTCATTGCTTTAGTGGAGAACCAGTTAGTATGCCATGAGGTGGATACCTTAGGTAATGACCTCCCTTTTCTAATGCCTTAGTGCTGAAGTTTCCTTCCTAAGCAGCATCCCACAGATTGGTCATTTCAATTCAGTTCAGAATATTTTATATTTTTTTCCTTTGACACTTAGGTTATTTAGAAGTTGTTATTGAATTTGGGAGAGATTTTCCCAAGATAATTCTGTTGTTACCCAAATTAATTTTATTGTGGTCAGAGAATAAACCTTGTATGACTTACTGAGATTTATGGAATATAGTCCACCTTGGTAAATGTTTCATTTATTGAAATATGTGCCCTGCTGTTGTTGGGTAAAATGGTGTAGGTCAAATTAGTTGATAATGTTGTTCAAGGCTTCAGTATTCTGATTTTTTTTACTGAATTTCCAATTACAATTATGCCCTATTATTAGGTACACACAAGTTTTCTTCTTCTTGAGGTCCTGACCCCTTTATCTTTAGAAAATGACTTTCCTCCTAATATTTAGTTCTGAAATTTTTTTAAAATCGAGATACTATGACCACTCCGATTTCTTTTGATTACTATTACCAGCATATGTCTTTTCTATTTCTGTACTTTTTTTAGTGGGTTTCTTGAAGGCAGCATATTGTGGGGTTTTGATTTTTCTAGCCAATGAGTTTGTCTTTTGTCATGCTTACATAAATGAGGTTTAAAGTATTGATCCGATTAGGTATTTCATGTCTTTGCTCCTTTTTCTACTTTTTGGAGCAAGTGAATACTGGTTCTATTTAATCTTTGGGTAGCATATTGACTTTAACATTGGGTATGTGGTTTGCATGTTTTTGTTTGGGTACTAAGATTGAACCTAGGCTTCTGTACTAAGCTACATCTCCTGTTCTTTCTGAGTCAGGGCCTCACAAAGTTGCCCAGGCTGGGCTCAAACTTACTGAACTAAAAAGGTTTGCTCTCTGAAAAGTGGGAAAGAATCTGGGTGTTTTACTTCTTGTGTTTCTTTTTGTGAAAATGAGACTCATTCAGGTGGTGGACAGCCTTTTCTCTTTTCTGTGTGTCAGTCCTCAGCATTTACCCAGTACTCTGTGCTCCTCCTGCCTCTGCCTCCTACTGGGGTTACAGCTGTGTACCCACCCCCAGCTTCTATATTTATACAGTGAAAAGATGATTGTACTACTTCGAGCATGAGAACCTGACATCAGTATTTCCACATATTATAAACTCTTTTTTCAACTATTGCAACCTGTAGTGTATATATAGATTTGCTTGTTCTGGACATTTCCTATAAGTGAAATTATACAACACATGGTTTTAGTGCCTGGCTTTTGCATCCAAGGTTCAACCTAGCTGTTACATATCAATACTTCATTTTAACTGCCAAACATTTTCCACTGTATGAATATAACACATTTTATCTATTCACTGATGGGCATTTGGGATGATTTCATTTTTAGTTATTATACTAGGAAAAGTTCAAGTATCAGTCTTTACGTGGACATATTTCCTCTTGGATAAAGACATAAGGACTGAAAAGCTGTAACAAAATACAAACTAGGGAGCTTAAACACCAGTTCTGTCATAGTTCTGGAGGCGAGTAGTCCAAGATGGAGTATAGCACAGTAACTCATTGTGAAGCCTTTTATTTTGGCTTATCTTTGGCCTTTCTCTTGTGCTCACATGGCAGGAGGCGGGAGTTCTCTAGTGTCTCTTAACAGGATACTGATCCTCTTGGATAAAGGCCTACCCCAGGATTTCATTTACTTTTAGCTACCTCCTTGAAGCCCCATCTGCAGACTAATAGCATGCCAGAAGTCCTTTCTTCTTTTAAAAAAAGAAACAAAGAAATGTACCTTTCATACATCTACCTCTTCCATGCTTGTTTTTGGTGAGGAATATCTTTTTAGATCAGGCCACTAGTTTAAGAATTTTTGGCTTGGGCCGGGGATTTAGCTCAGTGGTTCCGGCGCCTGCCTCACAAGCAGAAGGACCTGAGTTCAATCCCCAGGCTCAATGTTCATTTGTTCCTGATCTTCCTGCCTCATTTTTGTTAGCTTTCATTTTGTTCCTTCTAGAGGTTCTTATGCTTACTGCTCTTTAATGCACAATTTTTGCAATAACTTCAATAGCTTTTGTTGTACAGATAGCTCTTATTCTCTCTACAGATGTTTTTAGTTGAATTTTTAAGCCACACCATCATATTTAACAGTCCATGTATGTCAAGGGCTTTATAATTATTGTTCCAAGTGTTGTCATCTCTACAAGTTTGTTGGTAAGTTTTTCAGGTACTTTAATGCTTAGAATGTTCTGATTGAAGCCAGTGTCAGTATACCTTTCTCAAATCAGACTGTCTCAGAATCTGAGGGGTGAGTTCATAAGTCATTCTTATCTTTTAAAAAGTTGAGTTCTATGATGTTTTGCCTCTATGTAATTTAATAGTTATCAGTATTATACTTAGCATCATAAACCTTTTATGACTTTACTCTTAGAACAGTAGTACATACTTTAGAAAGTAAAAGATTATGTAGAATGACGCATTATTTTCTTTAGCATTTTTAATGTATTTCCTTTTATGTTCATTTACATTCACAAAATTCAGAAGTGACATTGAGAATTTTAAAAAGTAACATTGAATAGGATCCAGTCAGTGAGAAAACAGTAACTGTACTGTTGGAGTAATGCCCTGAAGTTCGGTTGTGTAAGATTGTTGAAGATGAACTGTGAAGAGGTTGGACCACAATCTTTAGGGGAGGGCACAGCACAATAGGGGACAGGAAGGACACTTGGGGTTTCAAGCTAAGGATGAAAGTATTTTTGTAGTGTAATAGCTGTAAAACTATAAGCACATATAGTATGAAAAGCAGCTTATATCACTTTAATATATACACATATACGTACATTTTTCACTTCAAACATTTTATTGGGCAATTTTTGTGTTACTCTTCAAAAACATCAATGGTTGCATACTTCCCATCACCATCCAATCTTTTAATCATACATTTAGGTTATTTTTGTACTTGGAAGTTTTATAAGTAATGTGATGAACAAACAACTTTCCTGTCTATTTTGCATACCATTGTTGGGTTAGACTGTAGAAGTGAAAATGCTTAATATACATTGCTAACTGCTTTCTTATATGATTTTCCCAATTTTTACAGACATCAACAATATATAATGGTGTAAACTGAGTTATTTATGACATCTATCCTTTTTGCATTGAGTCTTGGTGTTTTAATTATCAGCGTAAGTCTCAAAGATTTCAGCCCTTTTATATTGTGATACTTTTCACAATGTTATATGCCTGTTTTCATAGTTTTAATGCTATACAATCAAAACAGAACAGTCTGTAATGACACAGTAAACTTCCAAGTATAGAAACTGTTTTTTAAGATATGTACAAGTAAGCAGATGTAAAAAATGTTCTGTTCTGACAAAGGATTACAATTGAAACATGCCACTGGCATAGTCACAGATCTGGAAATAGAAAAGAGGCAATACAAAAACATTTTCTAAAAATGTGACTTTGGTATACTAGTGGCATAGCTAAAACAACATAATACACGGTTTAAAATAAAGCCCTATCTTGGACAGTAGGAGGATTCCAAACATATTAACTAGACATATTAGTCACCTTAAATCCTTTAGGAATGAATGTTAAAATCAATTATAAACCCTAACAGAACAGTGGCCTTTCAGAGTTAGATTTGGCCTGTGTACTGGCATACTTTTTCTGGGCCTGTCTCTCACAGTAAAGTGGGAGTTGGATGATGGTCTTTAAGGTCCATTAAAATGCAGTGCTTAGCTTCATCCTTTATCACTGAGAAGGTCATTATAATTTAACAGATTCAACAGTAGACAAGCTGACATATATAGCAGTTGTCATAGCATTAAATTTTCTTCCTAGGGTTAAGTGTTGTTAAAAGTGGAAAAAAACTTGTTCTCACCGATTCCATGCCTTACATTTATGAGAATTTCGCTAGCCAAGTAAAAATTCCTCATTTCAAAATTTAAGTGGACTGGGTTTGTATTCAGGAAAATCAATTTTGTTGACTTAGTTCTTGACATTTAATGTGGCTTATTCAGTATTCTGGTTAAAGTTGATTTATCCTGTGTGTGTTTCTCCCAGGATCTATCACAGCCTGTTGTATGAAATACCCACAAAGTCAGCCAACCTACCAGCACTTACTATTTGCAGAACACAGTGTTTGGAAACTCAGGTGATGAGCAGAATGAAAATTATGTGGTTCTCCAGAAATATTCTGGAATGAGATACAAAAAACTGTATTTAAGGTTTTCATTGAGCTATATTCTCAACTGATAGTGTGGCATTATAAAAATGCCAGAAAGTTGGAGACTGTTCAGACTATCCCAAGAATTAAAGGCCTTTTAATTTCTCTTTGTAGAGTGGCCTCCCTGCCTGGTGTTGTGGTGCGTGACTATAATACCAGCACTAAGAAGGCGGAGGCAGGACAGTTGCCAAGATTTTGAGGTCAGTCTGGCTATATAGTGAATTCAAGGCCAGCCTGAACCACATAAAAAGACCCTGTCTCAAAAAAACAAAAACAAAAAAAGCAAAACAAGGGTAGCCCCTTCATTCTTTGCAATTCCAAGAATCAAAAAATGTAGGTAAACACTACAAATTAAAATGACTTCCTTTGCCTTGTTTTCCATAAAATCTGTTTTGTCTGTCTCACAGAGGAGGATGACCTTTTTGATGACCCTCTGCCAGTACCTTTAAGGCACAAGCTGCCATACCAGGTTACTCTTCATCCTGACGTTATCTTGCTGACTGCAGTACAACAAAACCAGCCTGAAAAACTGAGACAAAGCACAGGATGCTGTGAATTGGAGAGTATGCAAAGCTCTCTTCTGGCCAACTTCATAGACTGTGAAGAATCCAATAGTGAAAGTGAAGAAGAGCCAGAAGTCCCAGAATCACTGCAGGATCTGGACCCTGTGACACTTCCCCAGCAAAAGGCGGATGCAGATGTGCCCCAGTGGGAAGTGTTCTTTAAAAGAAGCAGTGACGTTACCGGCGAGGGTTTGGAAAACTTTCCTTCTTCCACAGAGACAGGGAGATCTCAGTCACCCCAGCTTTTCAGTGACTCCGATGGAGAATCAACCCACATCTCTTCCCAGAATTCTTCTCAGTCAACACACATAACAGAACAAGGAAGTCAAGGTTGGGACAGCCAGTCTGATACTGTTCTGTTATCTTCACAGGACAGAACTGGGGATAGTGCCTTTTTGAACAAAGGTGCCCACAGACCAAAGGCCAAGGACAGTATCCCTGCCTCTCAGATGGAACAAAATGTACTTTGCTCAAAGGCTATTTCCAGTGATGTGAAAAGCAGAGATCAAGACATCACTATAGTTCCCAGTATGGAGGAACACATACCTGAGGAAAAAAGGTTGCCAAATCATAGCACATACCCAGATTCACATAGCTCCTCTGATTTTGAAATTCCCTCAACTCCAGAAGCTGAACTACCTAAACAAGAACATTTACAATGTTTGTATAAGAAACTGGCAACAGGTGAAAGTATAGCAGTTGAAAAAAGAAAATGCTCATTTTTGGATATTTAATAATTAAAACACCCTTTCCTAGAGCAACCATTAAAAAGCTTTTACAAGTAATTAAGTCTACTATTGCAGTAGATCAGTTACAGTGGAATAAAAAATGTTCAGAGTAGCCAGGCACAGTGGCACATGCCTGTAATAGCACTAAGGCAAGCTGAGGCAAGAGGATCAAAAGTCCCAGTCCCACTTGGGCGACTTAGTGAGACCTGGTCTCAAAAAGGGCAGGCAGGTGGGTGGTGGGTGTGGGAAATATACAGCTAAGTGCAAAGGTCATGGGTTCAATCCTCAGGACTAAAAAAAATTCAAACACTAAAGGCAACAGTAGAGGTAAATGGGTGGGGGGCCCCAGCATGTGGGAGGCAGAACTATATCTAAACATCTCAATAATTACGCTAAATATAAATATGGTCTAAGTAACCAGCAAGAGAGAGACTACTTAGATTTAAAAAAAAAGCTACATGGTGTCCACAAGAAATTCAACTCAAATGCTATCTCTAGATTAAAAGAAAGGGGAAAAGATACATGTGAACAAGTAACTAAAAGAAAGCTGGAGTGGCTGTATTAGTATCAGACCATTTCTTAGTGATGAAAGGTCCAGTTCACTGAGAAGACATAATCCTAAATTTACATACACTTAATAGCTTCAAAATACACAATGCAAAGACAACTGAGACAAACTAACACAACTTTAGAGGTTTTACCATCCCTCTCAGTGAAACAACTAGAATGTACACACACACACACACAGAAAATAACAAGTATGTAGAGGAATTAAACATCACCACCTAACTGGGTCTTACTGATGTAAGACACCACCAAAACAGCAGCAAGCACCTCAAGCTCTTGTGAACATTAACTAAAGACAGGCTATCTTGGATCATACAGACATTTAAATTGGAATAAATTTGGACCTACTCCAATAAACTGATGGCTATAGGGAAAAAAAAGCACCATATCCCAAAAGCTGTTTTATCACTTAAAAATTGTGAATTAAATGATAAAATTATAACCACAAAAATTAGGACATAAAAAAATGCTTAAAAATTAAATGGCTAAAGTATACTATGTTCTGCAAGTCAACATCTTCATAGTCCACAAATGTGAAGATTTAATAAAATTTTGGACCTATATATTCATAAATATTTTGGTATGCTGACATTTCACAAATTAAAACAAAAGCAAAGGCATCACTTAAACTTCTGTGGAGTTTCACAAGTTGGAATCACAACTTGCAAATTAAAACAATGATATGCACCATCACCATGATGCACATTAATTAGGCCAAAAAATACTGGACCCATTAGACTCAGTATATTGTTAAATTTGTGTACATTCACTAAGACTTAAGACTTAGTTTTATTTCTTTAAGTTGAGACAGGGTCTTGCAATGTAGTACAGGCTGGCCTCGAACTCTTGGTGATCCTGCCTTGGCCCCCCAAGTACTGAGATTACAGGTGTGCCCATCATGCCTGGCAAGACGTAGTTTTAATAGTATACCTTATGACCCAAGGCAGGTGTTCTAAAAATGCTTGTAAACATTCTGGTGGCTGTACTACCATTTTATAATTATACCATTATTTTCATTATGTATGGATCTGGCACAATTCTGGGTGAATGAATTCAAGGGCAAAGAACAACACAATATAATCAACATTCTTGTACAGTTTAGAGCACAGTGATAACTGGCATGTTGCTTTCTCTGTGATAAAGCTGTAAGTTTTTTACACACTATATAAACTTTAACCCTTATAAACCCCCACTGAGGTAGACAGGAGACTAAGGCACACAGGTCAGTTCATATAACTAGCAAGGGGCAAGTCCAGGATTCGAACACAAGCAACTTGGCTTTAAAGTCTGCTCATAATGCTAGAATGCCACTCAAAAACAGCATAAAAATGAGCAGTATTACTTATAGTGGCAATCACATTTTACTTCATGAAATCAGACAAAATGAAGAAACAAGTGTTTCAAAACCCTAAGATATAATAAGAATCCCAGTGGCAAGCCATGTTTGCCTTAGATTATCAAAATGTTAATGTCTGTTTAAATATAAACTGATTTTTTAGTTTATAACTTAGTTTATAGTCTCCCTGAAATTGAAGATGAAATACTTTTAAAAACAGGTACAGTTTGAGGCCTAGCACAGCTGGATAATCTTGAGTTTGTTAATGTTCCCTAACCAGCCTAAGCCTGTTATATAGGGATGGAATATAGAGACAACAGCACCACTTTAGAAATTCATGAGAAGTGCATGAATGTAGATAAAGGGCCTGAGCCTCAATGAATATGACTGTTCAACTCTAAAATTCCTTTGCATTTCCAGGCAGAATCTACCGTAGTACATTTCAGTACCTGGTGACTAATAATGTTCAAAAACTTTCAGTATAGGATCCATTCTGTTGAATTGTACTTTTAATATTCAAATGAATGGACCCTAAAAAACAAAGTACCATTTAAAGGAGTTACATAAAAACCTGTGTCAGTACTCAGGAATACAATATCTTTCTTCAGCCTTTTGGAAATCTTGGCAAAATATTCAAAAGCAAACAAAGCTATGTCATACCAAGTGGAATACCATTAAATGCCAAATTAAATTTATTTTGCTTGAGACCGTTGAGTTAAAAAAAAGTGTAGTTTAAATTTTGTGAATGTGGCCAGGCATATGGCACATGTGTATAATCCACACACTCAGGAGACTGAGGCCAGAGGATCACTAGGAGTTCAAAGACAGCCTGGGCTACACAGTGAGACTCTGACTCAAAAATAAAAATAAAATTTGCATATAGGAGGAAAATCCTGAGTGCTAGTTCTGTATCACAATCCTACATAGATCCTGGAATTACAACTTGTACAGTAGATCTGCATTTTAAATTTGCTGTTATTGTTACCTTTGAAATTTTTTATATTGAGAACAAATTTTGATATCATTAGCAAGCACAAGTAAAGAAACAGTGTTGACTTCCTAATACTTAGAAGTCCCAGGCTTCCTTTAAATTGTTTCTAAAGTTACATAGTATGTACTTAAAATTTCAAAGACCCATGAAATTTCTCACAGTTAAGGGCAAGGCAGAACCACTGGTTTACTGAAAAATCTTTCCTTCTGTGCCCTGCCTCCAAGTTTACATTTTTAAAAACCAAGACAGTAGAGAAGATCAAGTAACTAGATATGAAAAGAGTGACTTTAAAAAATTACATCATAAAACTGTAAGAATAGTAATGAGTAAACGTGGCCACTGGGGGGGGGGCAACCTGTAACCCTATATAGTATGTTCTCACCAACACTGACTCATTTTTCATAAAGAAAACACAAGAAATGCCACTAAAAAATACTTTTTGACACATCCTGAAATTTTTGGTTAGGAGACACAAGGCCCAAAACATGTAAATAATTTATCCTATATTTAAAAAGAGCAAAGTGAGGGCTGGAGATTTAGCTCAGTGGTTCCAGTGCCTGCCTCGCAAATGCAAGGACCCAAGTTCGATTCCTGGTACCAAAAAATAAATAAAAAGAGCAAAGTGATAGCAATATAATGAATAAACTACAGTTTCCCTGAAAACAGGTTAAGAATTAAAAAGATATTTGAAGTGCTGCATTCCTGAATTCAGTTCAATCTTACCCAAGCTTACTGTAGACCATTAAAACCTAGAGCAGAGAGCTTAGGAAGACCTTAACTAGGGAAACCAAAAGCTAATTTGCTGCATTTATCTTCATATTGGATGCCATGAGAAATCCCAGCATCAGAGAAAGTTTTTCCTTGATTGAGGTTTTACTGCAAAAGTGGAAAAAATTTCCAATTTAGTCTTTACACAGTAGGTCAACTAATAAAAGGTCTCATTTGGGCCAAGGTTAAATTTATCACATCTAGAAATTCATGTATAAAACAAGTTATCAGTTCAAATATACATTACTTTTTTAGATGAAATGGAAATATAAAAATGGTTTGGTGGAAAGGAAACAATAAAACTGCTTGTGGGCCGGGGATTTAGCTCAATGGTTTTGCCACCTGCCTCGCAAATGCAAGGACCAGAGTTCGATCCCCGGTACCAAAAACAAACAAACAAATTGCTTGAAATGAGAGGATGTATGTCAGTGCACGTGACATTATTACTTGGTACGGCTGCTCCCTAGGGAGTGGGGTCAGGTTAGATCAGAGGTGCTCAACACGGGGTCTCCTAGTTCACATACACAGTGATGCCCTCAGAGCTCTTTACTTCCACAGAAGGAGCTCCAAAGAGCCCTCCCAACCCCACTGTCCTGTCCTTTCATCCTTTCAGAGTATAATGGTCAGCCAGCCCTTCCAGACCTCTCAGGGCCTTTTGGAGATTTTTCTTCTGTAGGATAAAAAATCTTGAATTACAGGTTTAGACATACAATCTTCACAATGATTTAGATTCTTTCAAAATATGAAATCAAGCTGAAATATTTCATACTTTAAATTTCTGTATTATTAAGATGAAAATATTTTAATGAAAAAGTAGAAAATAAGTAAAAATTCAGTATCACTTGTCTCAAAGCAAGAACAGTGACTATTTAATAGGAATGACAATATAGTAATAAAACCAGAACTTGTATATTTGCCCAAACTAAATTAGCTGTCTTTGCAATCAAAATATATAGCAAGATGAATGCTTCATCCCAGCAATTATTACCTTTTTAGTCTAACACTTTTCAAACACAGAAGGGGGGGGCACCTCTTCGCTTACACAGACTTCGGTAGGTACATGCTGATCTGTAGTGTCTTCCATATCTGGATTCTAATTACCAAGTGGGTCCGTTTCAAATTAGCCATTGTGACTGAGTCTTCTTTATAGCAACAGTAACATATTTGGCAGATGTCTTGAAAGAGGAACTGTAAATTAACAGAGTGTAATCTTGATAATACGAAGAGTCCCAAATACTTTTAAAAAGTGTAAATATTAGGAAAAACCGAACTACAATGACCATCAGCTCTACTTCCCTAACAGTCAGTCGAGGTAACCTCTACACGTCACAGCTCCACACCTGCACACAGTTCTGACCCTTTTTTTGGCAGGGCTATGGTCAACAGACTCTGAAGATGTATCTCCAGAACCTGAATAGAAGAGAAAAACAGGGAGGGAGGGAGGGAGAGAGAAGACAACTTATAATGAATTGTAAATTTCCTCTTATTTTAAAAGTAGCTAGCAAGGATGCTTACCATTTGAGTTAAGTTAACTCCCAAAGAAATGTTAGGCTTTCCCTCTGTGTATATGAATGTGAACACTGAGAGACAATTAATTGCAGTTTGTCTTGAAAGGACAATGTGTGCTCCTAAGACATGCAGCTTATGTTATCAGCCCGCATATGTGAGAATGGATGCCCAGAGTGATGACTTGATGCTCACTGGGCAAGTCCAATACAGAAGCTTTTTCTTTTTTCTTTTTTTTTTTTTTTTTTGGTACTGGGGATCGAACTCGGGTCCTTGCGCTTGCGAGGCAGGCCAGAAGCTTTCTTTCCACACACTAAGCACACAGTGAGGCCAAGCAATCACAATATGGAAAGGACTTGACATCATTCCCAGAAAAGCAAAATGTTCATATTATAAAATAACACCAATAAAATTAACCTTTAAAAGCCAAATTCAAGAAGGAATGGAATAAGCTTGTAATTTAAATCATATTTTCAATTTTCTGAATATACATCTCTAAAATATTTGCATATGTGTGTGTGGTGCTAGGGACAGAACCTAAGGCCTCAAACATGCTAGGTGAGCATTCTACCACAATTCTTTAATACAAGTAGTATAATATTGAGAAAAGATGTTAGAATAAATCAGCTTCCAAAACTGTCCTGAAAAACAAAAGAGGTGACACAATGACTTAGAAGAAAGAGCATTCCCTGACCAAGTCAGGCTATCAGATGAGCTTGGGACATTAAGTAAGATCATGAAATCTTACAGCTTCAATGTCTTACCAGTCTGGTTCAGATGGCCGTGATCTTTTCCTACTCTGATGTGATTTTTCATACCGAAACGAACATCAATGAAACTGTACTTGAAAACCATACCTTTCATTTGGTAATCAAAAGTTAGTTCTTCTCCAGCATATATGGTTCTTGTAGAAAACAATGCTATTCGGGGAAGACGAGTATCGAGGTTATCGATGAAAACATTGAACACCTGAAGATTTGGGTCACACTAAAAAGAAACATTGAGCCCACTTAAGTAAAAGTGACATGAATGAGCTCATCATGTGCCATATAAAATCTTTAATTTCCCACAGTATTTAAATTTTAGGGGAAATTAAGTTGCTTATTATGACACACATTTAAAAGTATCATTTTCATTTTAAAAACCATTAGACATAAAAGTAGAGAAAACAATAATCTGCAAGCATCTACTCTGCAATTTCAACCATTAACATCTCGCCAATTTTGGTCATCTAGTATCAACTTACTTTCCTGGAGAACTTTAATACAAATCCTGTAACTATGATGTAACTATTTCAGTAAGTCATATACTTCAAAGAACTAGAATAACTATGTTAAAAATCAAACCAACACCATGAAACTCCAATTTTATACTGCATGGAGTTCCACTGCTTAACCTTTGCAGAATTTGTTCAGTATTTTGAGAACTCTACACTAAATTACAAAATATGCAAGGAGAGATCTAGTAATCATACGAAAAAAATCAAAATACATATTTGTTCTTGAAACAATCTAGTCTGGAAGTACAGTTGTGCCTCTTTATCTACAGGCTATACATCCATGGACTCAGATTCAACCAATCTCAGACTGAAAATATTTGGAGGGAAAAAGGACTTCTAACAAGTATGGACTCTTTCTCTTGTTATTCCAGAATCAATGTAACAAATATTTCCATTGCATTAGATATAAGTAAACCAGAGAAGATGTAAAGAGAGAGCATGAGAATTACATGTAAATACTACACCATTTTACAAAGGGACTTGAGTATCCAAGGATGTGGGTACCTGCAGGAGTTGTGAACCAATTTCCTGAGATACTGCTGAGAGATGACTATCAGGTATAGAAGGTGACTCTGATGCAAATTTATGACTAAGAAAAGGCAGGGATTTAGTTCAGTGGCACCGTGCCTTCCTCGCAAGAGCAAGGTTCTGAATTTGATCCCTGGTACTGAAAAAAAAAAAAACATAAACAAAAACAAACCAAACCAAACCAAGTTATGATTAAGAAATGAATTCTTTTAAGCAAAAATTTAAGAAAATCAGAAAAATAACAGGAGAGCCAGAATCTATTTACTGCTAACCATAGACCAGTTTTTTGGGATGCAGTCCATCAGAAGTTTAACATGGCTATATCCTTGGGCCGGGGATTTAGCTCAGTGGTTCTGGCATCTGCCTCATAAGCACAAGGACCCGAGTTCGATCCCTGGTACCAAAAAACAAAACAAAACAAAAAACCATGGCTACATCCTTATGAATACAGATAGAAAATCTCTGAGGAACATTTCCTTTGTTATTTGTAACACATCTGTAAGATGGAGATAGTATTAACCTCACTACCCACCTGGCACTTAGTAGGTATCCAGTAATCATGAACCACTGCCTTCACACATGCCAGGCAAGCTCTCTACTACTGAGCAGCACACCCTGCTAACTTAGAAATAGTTTTTATGGGATTTTAAGATTCTGGAGTTAAGACTGTAGTTCTACTCTGCTTTCAAACACTAAACTTTAGGAAAAATACTAATTTACAATTTAGAAAATTAGTTCTAAATACTTCCTTTTTTTTTGAGACAGGGTCTCACTGTATAGTTAAGACTGACCTGGAACTCACTATGTTGCCCAGGCTGGTCTCGAACTCACAGCGATCCTCCTGCCTCATCCTCCGAGTGCTGGGATTACAGGCGTACGCCACCATGCCCAGCTCTAAATACTTCCAATACTCTACAAATCTTCAAATTTTATAAATGTGTTAACATGACTACATCTAAGAAAATAATTTATACAAGGTCTCCAGGGGATATCTAAAACCACAGATAGTACCAAACCCTACATATACTAGGTTTTTTTTTCTTACACAAGTATACTTATGATAAATTTAATTTATAAATCAGAAGTCATAAGACATTAATAACAAAATAAATACAACTATAACCCTATTATAAATAGTAATAACAAATAAATAATAACAAAATAAATACAACTATAACCCTATATTATACTATAGTTGTACAATTATGAAGTAATTGTAGTAAGAGTTATATAAATGTTCTCTCAAAATATTGTTTTACCTTTTCACTTAAAGGAAGCACTTTATGGTTTCTAAATGGTCAGCATCATTATTTTTGTGCTATTAGAGTGATTATCAAGTAAAGTAAGGGTTACTTGAACACAAGTGCTATGACACTGCAGCAGCTCATCTGGATGAAACAGCTATTTAAATGACAAGTGCACAGATCACATGCTCAAGATGACCGTGCTGGACAAAAGGATAATTCATGTCCTGAGCAGGGTGCAGTTGAACAGTGTAAGATTTTATCATGTTAGTGCGAATTCCTTGAAGTTTAAAACCTACAAATTCTTTTTCTGGAATTTTGTACTGTATAGTTTTGGACTACTCTTGACAGGTAAAAATGTGGGTAAGTACACTACTGTACATTGTCAAATTTAATTATACTAACTTCTGTGAGACACTTATGGAGTTGCACGTGAACTCAAACAGTTTACTCCTTAACTCTTCTGCTTACTGTTTTCTCCTGGGACATGAAGATATTTTACCTTTTTTTTTTCAAGACAGGATCTCACTATGTATTTAAGACTGATCCAGAACTCACTATGTAGCACAGGCTGGTCTCGAACTCACAGCGATCCTCCTGCCTCAGCCTCCCGAGTGCTGGGATTACAGGCGTGCGCCACCACACCCAGCAAAGATATTTTATCTACCGTGAAAAGTTACTGCAAAGCTTCAATGAAGTTACATAGGAAAGGATTCTTATAAAACACCATATTTGGTAAGCATTTAACTGTTTGTCTTCCTAACAGCAGTAACATCAGGACTTAACAGATAAGGCCTGCATGCTGAGATACTTGGGAAGGACCTACAATTCAAAGATAATTACTCTTCCTTATAGAAAATCATCAGAAACTACTAAGTTGAATTATTTGTCATCTATAATTTAAGTATTCTTCTTACACTATGATTTACAAAATGTGACACATTTCCATATCGAGCTGCATCCACTGTGAATTCATCCGATTCGTAGTCCAGATCAAAGAGATACGTGATTCCTCTGTTGTCATATAACTGCCCCCGTCTTTCAGCTTCTTCACTTGTGATTACCTAAAGAAAAATAAAACTAAAGTACATTACGTAGCTATTGCAGAAATTTATCCATAAATATAGAAAGTGTGATCAAAATATACAGTTAAATGTTAAAAATTTTTAAATTGCAGTAAGACATATTTCCATTAATCCCTTCAAAATATAGCCCCCACCCCACTCCCAGCTTCAAACACTTACCCATCACTTTTGCCATTACTGGAAGTAGTTCTGGAACTCCTCTTTCCTGTCTTTGTTTTGTTGTTTTTTGAGACTGGATCTGTGTAGTCTAGGCTGGCCTTAAACTCACTATGTAGCTCAGGCTGGTCTTGAACTCATGGCGATCCTCCTATCTCAGCCTCCCAAGTGCTGGGATTACAGGTGTGCGCCACCTTGCCCAGCTCTTTTGTGTTTGTGAGGCATGTTCAAAGTACAGTATAGTGAATGCTGCCGCCCACTGCCGTCCAATGGAAGGGCAATCTCATAAAAAAAAAATCCTCCAAGGGCCAGGGATTTAGCTCAGTGGTGCCACCACCTGCCTCACAAGGGTAAGGTCCTGAGTTTGATCCCATACCAAATAAAATTAAAAAAGCTATGTAGCTATAGGTGTGTATATAACTGAATGCAAAGGACTACAATTTACAAAACAGTAGAGAAAGTCCTGTTAAATTTTCTGTCAGCTGTCTGAAAGTTTTGTTTTACTGGGGATGTAACAGTGGCAAAGTGCTTGCCAGGCATGCACAGGTCTAGGTTCCATACCCAGTATCACCAGCTGGGAGGAGGTGTGCAGGGTGGACAAGATGCAAACATCACTTACAGGTCTGCTCTTAACATAGCTTTAATCAGGAGATCAGCTCAAGAAACCAAACATGTCTGAAGTGACTCATCTATCATCATTTTATTAAGCCAAGAGAAGGAGCGTGACCGAGTAAAATCTAGTTTGCTTTTTGAGATGCAGTCTCACTGTCCCATCCAAGCTAATCTCACACTTTTGATGCGCCTTGCCTCAGCCTCCTGAGCACTGGGATTACAGGTAGGTCCCTTTGTGTTCTGCTGAAATCTAGTTCCTGAGTGACAATTTACAGTAATCTGCCATTGTCTAAAAATATAAAGATCAACTCAGGGATCTCACTTAATTTCAGGATTCTGGACAAATACAAGTGAAGCAATTTCAAATAACTTAAAACCAGTCAAGATTTGACAACTGCAGACACACAGCCACACCCCTCTCCAGTCACAGCTCAGTCCGAGGCAGTGAGGTACAGAGTGCTTATTCTGGAGTTTTGAGTCCTGGCTCTTTACTCCTGCTATGTATCCGTGTGATCCTAAGTTCCTCAATTTTTCTGCACTTCAGTTTCTTTGTCTACAATAATTAACACTACTATTTCAGAGTTATTGAGAAGATTAGTGAGTTAACACAACAAAATGCTTAGAATAGTATCCAGCATATGGTAAACGTTTATACTTATACATGACATGTATAAAAATAAATCGTTGCTCGGTATTTGGTAATTTAATGGCTGAGTTACAGTGTTTGATTTTATTATGACTATAACAAATGCTTCTGTATATATTTTATAATACATAAAGCATTCATCTATAATATATGTTGACAGAAAATACTTTTGCTAAACTTAACCATATGTGTACAAATAAATAAGCTGCAACCTTCAAGTTTTGAAGTCTGCATGTGTTTTGATGTAATTTTCTTATAGGACTTCTTTATAAAAATGACAATTATATTTTAAAATTGATACATGCTTGTTTAATAACTATGACTGGGTTTGAAAAAATGACTATTAATTTTGTCAATGTGAAACCTACAACTAAACCTGGAAATAAATGTTTACAATCTGAACATGATAATATAAAAATGTACCTTAAAATGTATTTATGTTATTGAGGTAAAAGTAACTTTTCAAAAATATAAACCTTACAGGCACATTATTTGCTATATGATAAACTGAACGTACCTCTCCAACGTATTCCATGACAAAACTCATTCTTTTAATCTTCACAAGGGTCTTTACACCCCAGCCACAGCCATTGTTAGTTCGAAAGATGCAAAGTGAATACTGTGTGCCCTTCTGTACAATCCTATTGGGACAGTCAGGTCCACATAGGCACCTTGAATTGCATTCGTAGATGGGAGTACCAGGTGGGATTTTAATTTGTTGGTTCTTATTATAAGCAAAGACAACTCCAGCTTCAGCAGGACAACATTTCTCAACGAAGCAATCTGTGCACGAACAACCAAAGGTCACTTCATTGACTAAGCTGATTCCAGGAGCTGGTTTGTATTCATTAATATAGTAGAAGTCTATAGGGGGGCCCTCTAAATCAACAGTATTTTCAACAAATATCATTCCTTTATGATTCTTTCTTCTGTTGAGTTCATCTTGCCACTTCTGCAGAGCTATCCTTTGTTTAGCTTTCTTTACAACGTACCGAGCAATGGCAGGTCTCAAAGCTTTGTTATTGTCTTTTGGAATTATTGCTTTGCTTTTCTTTACCTGAGATAAATAATTATGCTTGTCATTAAAGAATTGCTGAAGCAGTAATGGACACTTGAGATTTTGCAAAGGTTCCCAAGTATTTGTAGAATGTGGCCATCCTTTCCATTTTACAAGATAATATTCCATATCCTTAAAATACAAAAGAAAATGCAAATCAGATTATAACAATCCCAATTAAAATAAATGTTTCTAAGAACAAGCTACCCATTATCATTTTTCTTTTTTTTTTTGGTATCAGGAATCGAACTCGGGTCCTTGTGCCTGTGAGGCAGGTAATGGCACCACTGAGCTAAATCCCTGGCCCATCATTTTTCTTAATAATAGTTCAGAATATGTAGAGTGACAAGTTTCTAACAGATAAGATACAAATCGTACAAATGCCCTAAGAGTATTTATCTGTGACCCAGGTTGGTGTTTTATTTGGCCACTGTTCTAAGGCCTACAATTTAGTACTGTCCAAAGGACATGAAGGAACTTACATTTTTTAATGTCACAGGCACATGTCCCCTTGGTATTCTGAAGACACACTGTCCAATACAGTCACTGCTAGCCACATGAGAAACTGAAATGCAGCTAGTCAGAAGAAAGATGTGCTTTAAGTATAATGCACACTACAGACTCAGTACCAAAAAGAGTATACTATCTCTAAAATTTTAATCTTTTTGAGGGTGGTACTGGGGATTGAACTCAGGGAACTGTCATATCCAAGTTAAAAACTATTCTACAAAGCTACATCCTTAGTTCAGTATCTCTAATTTTAAAAAATACCAATTAAACACCACCGGCATTGCAAGCACAAGGACCCGAGTTCGATCCCCGGTACCAAAAAAAACCCCACAAAAAAAAAAAAAAAAACAATTAAAGGTTGACATACTTTGCATGCATTGGATTAAACAATTTTATCTGTTTCATTTTACTTTAATATGGTTACATATCTTTTTGTTTATTTGTTTTTGGTACCAGGGATAGAACTTTGGACCTTTTGCTTGTGAGGCAGGCAGCAGAACCACTGAGCCAAATCCCCAGCCCTGGTTACGTAATATTTCTATGGACAGCACTGTTATGGAAAATGCTGACCTTATTTATACTTATTGATGACTAGGGTAAGTGGCAGTTACTCAAGCCACCAAAAAGCAAATATTTATCACTCAAGACTGCTGCTGGCCATCAGCAGCCTGGAATCCTGTCTTTTTACCCTAGTGACCCGCACTTTGGGAGGCTGAGGCATGAGGATTTTAAATTCAAGCCCAGTTAGGGCAATTTAGTGACTCAGTGAGACTATGTCTACAAAACAATAGGCTGGGTATGCAGCTCAGTGTAAAGGCCCTGGGTTCAGTCCTCAGCACTGAAAAACAAAAACCAAAAAACCAGCAATTAGGTATAAACAAATTATTTCATTCACTTTTTTTCATCCACTAGAATATTTAACACATAACCACATGCCCTAGGGTAAAATAAGCTCATAAAATGCTTCTGAAACACACTGCTATTAAACTCTACTTGACAGATTTTAATTATCATTTTAACTCATGAACACTGAAAAAGTTGGGGATAAATTTACTTTCCTGTGAAAATTTTATGGAAGACTTTAAGGATGTATAGGATAGTTGCTTTAACATCCATTTTTTCCCTTGGTGGTGAGACTGAACTCAAGGCCTCCTGCTAGGCAAGAACTCTGTGACTGAGAAGTACCTCCAGTCCTTGTTCATGACCTGGAAGGTATAGCCCATAGTTTTTGGCATGTTACTGAGGCACAAATTGGGCCTCATGTCATGGTGACAGATCCACAATAAGCTTATTTTATCCCCACTGTCTATACCTTTGTATTTAGGTTTTTCCCTTTGTTTTTTACTACTGAGGATCCAACCCAGGGCCTCATGAATGCTAGGCAAGTGCTTTACCACTAAGCTACATGCCCAGCCCAAGTTTGTATCTGTACTTTAATGTTTATTATATTCTATTCAACAAGCAGTAATTTTTATGAATTAAAAGAACTTTGCTTCTTTTATGAAAACTGGTCAAAATATTTTGTTTTTCCTATTACAAATGTTTTAAATTGCTGGATGTGGTGGCACACACCCCTGGTAATACCAGCTACTTGGGGGGGGGAGGCTGAGGCAGGAGGGCTGCAAATTTGAGGCCAGCCTGGGCCAAGTTAATGAGCTTCTTTCTCAAAAACAGAAAGAAAAAGAAATCAAAAGAAATTAGTGTTGTTGCTTAGGATGCATGAGGCCTTGAGTTCAATCCCTAGTACTGTCAAAACAAGCAATTATGATCTGAGAACATGCACAAAAACTGTTATTTCCAGGAAATACACATTGTTGCCCCCCTCAGGCCTAGATGTACACTGAAATATGTGTGTCACTTGATTTCTCTTTCCTGCCAGGGAACAGTCAGGGACAGCTGTTAGCAGGTACCTCTTTGCACTGAAGCAGGTATGAGATCCACCTGGCAGTAGCTAGTGTGTCTAGTTCCCTCAATTGCAATTTCTGATGCCAGAATAAAGTAAGGTAACCTGTCCTTTTCCCGCCTCTGCTACATACAGCCCTGAATTATGCCAGATGTTGCCAGAGAACAAAGAAAGAAACAGAAGTACTACCTTTCAGTTAGATTAAATTATCACCAGCACAACTAAAAACTGAAATCTGTCACTGAATTTAATTCAAAACAACTTGTTGTTTAATCTTGGATGATTCAATTGTATCTTAAGTGGCTAGGTTTTTAATGTTAAACATATTGGTACCTACTTAATTTATGGATAGTAACTGTTTAGAAAACATGAATGCCTTTGGCAAAATGTATAAATACCAGCAGTATTTTGTTTTTGGTTTGTAGACTTGCCTTTTATAACCATTATTTTACTTAAAATTCAAAAATAATATTCTGTGAAAAGCATGTTTACACACACACACACACACAAACACACACACATTGAATCACTGACTCATGAAATAAATTTAATTAAAAAACCTAAAATTTCAGCCAGGTATGGTGATGAATGTCTGTAATCCCAGCACTTGGGAGGCTGAAGTAGTATTGCCACAAATTCAAGGCCAGCCTGGACTACATAGGGAATTCATGGCCAGCTGGAACTACACAGCCAGACCCTGTTTCAAAAAACAAAACAAAAAAAGAACAAAAAACCCCCCAAAACCCCTAAAATTAAAAAATAAAAATAAAAAAGCTCATAGACTATATATCGCTATATTTTTCTTCTTCAAAGATATTATCCCCCACTATCTGATATCAGTTAAATTCATTAACTAATTCATAGTTTAGTATCTATGTTAAGTAAGTATATGAATGTTTGGAAGGTATAATGAAGGTATTACAGGCCTTGAGAAATAAAACTCTTTGGAAGAGAAGGCAATAATGTGAAACAAACATCAAGGCAAGGCAAGATAATTAAAAATGCTTAAATAAGAATACCACTAGAATATAAAGAGGGAGTCAGTATAGATCAGATAATCAGAAAGTAAACAGAGAAAGTAGAACTGTGAAAGACTGAATTTGTTGGGAAGGGAACATGTCAGGCAAGATGAGAAGCACAAGCAAAAGCTTGAAGCTAAAATTGCATTAAAGTATCCAGAAACAGCTAAGAGATGGATTTATCTAGTTTTAAAGCTTAGAATGCTGAATCAAGGTAAAATGCAATGTTAAGGCAATAGCAAATTCCAGACACCCTTGAACACTCGGCTAGGTTTATCTAAACCTTACTGTTGGCCACTGACTCTTACAATTCTTAGAAATCATGTGTTTCAGGGGAGCTTTATTAAATAAAATACATTTAACTCCATCTTGCTAACAAGGAACGGTTTTACTAATTTTTAACTGCTGAATCAATGAATTCTTTGATCCTCATTTAATCTGACCTCTCTTATATCACCTTTGCCTCAGGGCTTCGCTTCCACGATTTTCTCTTCCTTCTTTCTCCTTTTCTATTTTCTCTGCCGAGTGCTTCCTTGTCATTTAAACAATGCAGATATCAGGACTTTGTCCTCTGCTCCTCTTCATACTAAATAAGCACTTACCCCTTTGGAGAATCTGATGAGGATATGAACCCTCCCATAACAAATATCACTTATGTAACATTTTGAGTTATTATAGAACATTTAGATTTTAGGTTAAGAATCCTGCTCTACATGGCTGGCTCTCTGTGGGCAACCACAGTACTCCAGTGGTTTAAACTATTGCTTATATGCTGATGATTCCCCAAACTATATGCAATCTCAAATATATAATATACAGTAGCCTAGTTGATGTCCAATAGGTTCCTAAGGCAATATAGAATACCACTGTCCATCCCAGACTGATTTTTTTTTTTTTTTTTTTTTTTTTACAAGGGTTTGACCTCACACCCACTTGCAAGGCAGGCAGCAAAACCACTGAGCCAAATCCCTGGCCCTCAAACTGATTTTTTCTGTATGCTTCACCATGGTAAATCTTACCCATCTACCTATGCTGAAGCTGAAGACCCAGAAAACAATCTCATTTCTTTCTCCTCAATCTAATCCATCAGAAGGCTTCTTTAGAGATGGACTTCTTGTCTAATACTCTCATCTGCCATTCTGGACTAAAGTAATTTTTTTTTAATCATTAAAAAATCCACAGAACCACTTATCCTGCTTTCTTGCTTGAAAATTATTAATTCCATTTCATATAGAATAAAGCCCAAATTTAGTATTATAACAAAAGAAAGCCATTCTTAAATTGGTTGTTTATGCCTCCCTGGCTCAACTTTCCATCACAGCCCCATTCATACACTGCCCTCCTGCCACTCTGAACTATTCTGAACTATTATCAGTATTGGAACACATCACTTTTCTTCAGACCCTTTTGCTGCTTTTTTCTCAAAGTTTTCTCTAATTAGAATGGTCTAATTTGCCTCCTAAACACCTAGCTCAGTCTTTTTTTTTACATGTAATAGAAAACATACTCATCATTTTTCTCTAATCATCTTTTGAAACAGCTCACACATCACCACCCAAGATGAACTGATCACTGCCATCTTCCTTCTGTTCCAATTTCTAATTTAAACTATAGGCTACTTGTGAGAAAGGATGGAATTTTATCCTTCATAGCTCCAGAATAAGCACAACTGCCCATCATCTCAAGCTTTGACTAAATGT